TTAATGAATCCTGCAACCTTTTGGATCTATTTTCAGCTCAATAATCATCATCGGAATCATAATGAGCTGATTAGATCTATTTTAATGAAAGTTTTCATAATCAAAATCAAATACACAAAGCACCATACTAAAAAGAAGGAACATAATTTATATGTATAAGAAAATTGTAAATAAAAACATTAATAACAAAAAATGAAATTTGAAGAATTGGAAATAAAAAATTGATGAAAAAATAGTCTCACCTTTTTAGGAACTTGAAATTGATGAACTTAAGAGAGAATAGATTTAAAATTAAAAAATTGAGTGATTGATATAATTGTTGATATATGAGAGTGATTTTAGACGTAAAAATAGGGACAAAATCGTTGGATTGGAAGGGATGTGAATCGTGGGATAAATGTTATCCCTTTTTTTACACTGTAACTGATAACAACAAACTAACTATTAAAGTATATGTCCGCTCTAATCTAAGTATTGTTTCGTTATATTAAGTATCCGAATTAATATAAAAAAAGGATTTTTGGTAAATAGTGAAACAGTAAGGATAGAAAGTAATTTGTCCCTTAGACTACGTGATTTGCCTAATTTTTACATTTAATTTTCCGCTTTCATTCTTTAGTGTGGAAAAAATGATTTTTTTTAAAAAAACAAACTAAAATTAATTTTTCGATTATATTGAATTTTATTTTATAGTTATAAAAAAAGTTGATACATCTATAATAGATATTGAAAAATCAAATTTGATCATCAACATAGTAAATCAACTTAGCCATTGAATTAAAGAAGATAAGAAAAGACAAATTCACGTATGAAGAGGATCAAATATACCTCAAAATATTGCTAGAAGGGTCAAATATATCTTCTATATTTTTATTTTGTTAAAAAATTTAATAAGCTTTTCACTTCCATCAGCGAAAAATGATCTTGGCTATTCAAGTATACCTCAAAATATTATGAGAACGGTCAAATATACCTTGTATAATTTTAATTTTATCAAAAAATAATTTTGGATCAATTTTTTTCAATTCCGTCAGCTAAGATTTTAGTTGTATCAAAGTCAATATTGTTAAGGTATAATTTTAATTTTATCAAAAAATAATTTTGGATCAATTTTTTTTCAATTCCGTCAGCTAAGATTTTAGTTGTATCAAAGTCAATATGTGTAACAACTGAAATAGATGTGAGCCACCTTCTTTAACCAAAAATATATTATCTCTAAATCACCAAATTGAGAAATACAATTTATTATTAGTAGTAGTATTATATAAATGGCATTATATATGACACTTTTGATTAATAATTTTACTTGTCAAGTTATTTTATGAATCTTGAATTTGAATTGTGTGTGAGATAAATTTATTTTAAATTTAATTTTTTTACTATTTTCTTGCCATTTAAATTTAAAATTTTATTTCTTAATTGTAAATTTTAAATTTGTGTTCTTTAAAATTTATGTTGGAATTTGAAATGTAGAAGGAAGAAAAGAAATTATGAAGGCTATCATTTTGTAGCCTTTTTAAAAGATATTGAAATTAACATTTATTAATGAAAATTATTTGTAGCCTTTTTAAAAGATATTGAAATTAACATTTATTAATGAAAATTATGAGAATCTGGAACAAGTCTATTCCCATGTATTGGGGAACTTTTCATGTATTAAGAAATAATTAATAAATCTAAATTAAATAAGGATAAGAATGTCAAAAAGTAAACCTGTTTATAGTGTGAATGTGCCATTATAGCCAAAATTTTCTGGCAAAAGAAAAGAACAATTCAAAAAAAAAAAAAATCAAGTAAAACTTAAGATAAAGAAAGGGTTTATATACGAATTTGAGAATATAATTAAATAATAATAGTATGCTCTCTTTAACAACTTAATTTTTAGATAAAATGATCACGATATCAATAAAAATTGTGAGATCAAATCTCATCGCCGAGCTTAACCTTGCTTTTAGATGAGATGATCAAAATTTCATTTTTTTAGGAACTCAATCATTTTGCTTCCTTGATGACTCAGATTCACAACTTTAGAAACTCAACTATTTTACTTCTTTGATGACTCAGATTCACAACTTTACAATTGAAATTGAAAAATACTTACCATCCAAGCAACTCTCTCGTAATTAAACATTAGTCATTGAGTGCTTTTCCAAAAGTTTTCTAATCCCACTGGGCCATAGTGTCTGCAAAGAATACACTTCTTTTTCAAATACAACACAAATGAGCTTAAGCCTAATTTTACCCCTTTTGTTCCTAACAACACAAGAATAAGAAAATCAATGTACCACGAATTAGAAATTTAATTCTTACACCTTCCAAAGTGACTAGCTATTACCAACATTTTCTCAAAAAAAAATTCACAAGGGATGCACTCCCTTATATTTAAGTTAATTATGTTGTACCTAAATAAATTTGCTCTAACACCTACTACCTCACATTAAAATAAATATAGGTCATATAAAAAAATATCACCTAACAATAATTTTTATTTCTACTAACATTTGAACTGTTTTTTCACTACATTGACCATTAAGTACATATTTGGGTGCAAGAGATTCTTCATTATCTTGCATTGATAAGTCTATTCTTTGAAAAAATAATATCCTCTTGGAGCCTATCTCAAGAGTTTCAAACTCTCTTTTATGACTAACTATTAACAAATAGTAGCAGTAAGGACTTCTTAATATTGTGTTACAAACAGAATATTAAGTATTCTTTCATCCTTCATCTTTATCAGAAAACTCATATTCGAGTCTCCTTCGTAACCAGACAGCAGGTGGAAAACAAAAAAAGAAACAACGAAAGATAACAGATCAAAATCTCTGGAAATCGCTAGATTAAGCCATTTCAACAGTTCAACTTCAGCAAGTCAGTCCCAGTCAATAACTTGTATTAAAATGTGACAACCAAACATATATAAAAATATTATCAGTATACACACCAAACCAGCTAATATGTAACATGTTATTTTCATAGAATCCTTCATCAGTAACCATAAGTTATTGACAAATCCATGACGAATTCATAAAAAAAGAAAAGCAGTAACTTTGAGAAATATGACGAGCACCATCGATATTTTTTAAGAGTCCAAGCAACATATACGGAGGAATAATGGGAAGGAAGATCCCAAACAAAGCACACATGATGGCCGACAGTTTCATGCAGATGTTGAAGTAGAATATAAGTTCTCCACTATTATATTGTATAGAAAAATGATTTCATTTTGCATTGAAGTTAGTGCAGTGTGAGGGCATGGGGGTTGGAGTAGAGTTGGAGAAGGGGACCACTCAACCTTTTACTTGAACCTTCACCTTCACCAATCAAATGAAGCACAAACCCAATGGAATACAACATTAGCCACAAAATTCTTCTGGGCAACCTATTATCTTGTTTTACAAAAAAAAAAAATCTCTGTTACAAATGAGAAATGCCATTATTAAACAGTACATAACAAACCAAATGAATACCACCACTAACTGCAGCTTTTTACTCCTCCCAGAGCCTCAATATTTGCTCCCCGGCCCTAGTGACTCAAACTCACAACCGGTTAGAAGTGGTAGGCCAAAGGCGGAGAGTGCCCTCACATTTCTTCCTCAAAAGGAAATATGAATCATAAGCAAATAGGTTCGACACAAAAAATCATTTTAGTAATCAGATACATGGTGTTGGTACGAGGTGATAGGTATCACATGGATTTAGCCAAGGTGCGCGAAAGCTAGCCTGAACACCACGGTCATAAAAATAAATTAATTAAAAGAACACCAACTAGGCTTGTGGGAAGGGGAGGGATCAATAATGCATCATATTATAATAGAGAATAAGTTTTAAAATGCTTACAAAGCAAAGTAAATGAAAAAAAAAATGAAGGCATGAAGATTGCATGTAAAAGGGTCAGGGGACCACCCTACAGACAGAATCTATTGGTACTTCCTAGACAAAATAATGCCAGACACAACCTTATAATACACTATATATAAAAATTTTATAATGATGGAAAATTATCACAAAACTAAAGCTGATTTCCTAAATCAGGATTTAAACCATGAGGTCCCCCCCTCCATAATTGGAAAAATTAATTGGTACCAGTCTTGTATATAGCATGACCTAACTACTTATAAATAAATTAATATAGTACTAAGTGTTTGGAAAGGGACTAAAGCATTTCATTAATGCAAAAAGTATAACATAAAAATTGTACTTGCCACAAGCTACTTGCCATATAAAAAATTGAACCAATGTATATCAATGAGGTCATCCTCATTGCCCTAGAAAAAGGGAGAAAAACATGGTGTTCATCACGTTTTGCTGTCTTCACAGCCATGCAAATATATTTAAAACCAAGAAACACATCTACTTCAAACTTTAACTGATATATGTGTTGCAAATGAAAGAAAATATATGAATTCGTAAATACTAAATACTAATCCCCTAAAACAGATTTCAAGTATGTAATTACAGTTCGCAAGAGCCATGTAAAGCATCTCTTGGAAAAGGCTTAACCTGTGCCAGAGATATGTGTGACATCAAACATATCTCTGTAGAGAAAAAAAAAAGGATCTGTACTGCATTTCCTCACCAGTTTAGACAGAACATGTAAAACATATTGCAAGGAGCGGATATAACGTTACAGTTGTGACAGCAAACAAATGATTATAGATGTTTCAGTATAACTGTATAAGACATGAAAAACATAGCCATATGAAGATTCTAATAATTAGGATTAACCGAGATGTATAATGGCGGTAAAGACCAGGACGAACAGACTAGTGATCGAAATGGCTACATATAACTCTTGGAATCAATATATATGACGAAGTAGATTTCTAGCGCATATCCATGTACTACTAATAACCAGATGCTAGAGAAAACTATTGACTGATTCAAACAGAAGTGATTGAGTGCTTAAACTTGTCCGGATAACTGAAAGATCTTATCCTGGAAGTCACCATAATATGTTAAACAGAATTATTATTGAAAAATTAGGTTTTGAAAATGAAGAGAATGGGGAAAAGGAGCTCCCTTCAGTCCAAGCAAGGAAAGAGAGGGATAGAAAACTATCTCCCGCATCATTCACTCAATCACAGTAGCACAAAACCTATCCTTTCTACTGAGTGGTTGGATGAATGAGTCGGCAGCTAATTCAACCCCATTTCTCCTCCGTGAGTGGGCTGAAGGAAGCTCTCTTGGACCATTCCTCAATTCACAAAACTTTTACAAATTAACTTCTTCAACTCAACAGCCTTAGTAATCACCAAAATCACATCTCAAATACAATATATGAGATTCTGAGGAATAAATATACTAACCTCAGTCTACAGCTTTACATTCAACTTCCCCCCACAAAAAATAAATTAGGATATGCAACCAGTCAGTAATAGTTCACCATGATATCTCAGAATCAAATTGCAGAGAGTAAAGGCAGCCTAAAATGAAATACGAATACAATAGACACAACCAAAATCATGTTTAAATAATAGCTCAAGGGTAAAAAACTGAAAACCAAAAGTACATCTAGTTTTATATTTCGTAAAAGAAAAAGCCCCTTGTCCCCTCATCTCTTTAAGAAAAAAAAAAACACTTTCAACAGTGAACATATGCATAAATCACAACCAAAATTTTTTTGTTGGTCACACACCAAAGTCTGAGAAGATACTCAGAATAGTTACAAAAATTAATCAAAGTGGCAAACTTTCAGACACAAACACAATCTGTTAACTAAGCAGAGTCAACTCTTACCACAAACCCTATCATCACTAACAAAAATTTCAAAAAAAAAAAAAAGACAAAGATCTCTAATCTACCATTCTATTGAATCTATATACACAAGGAACTGTACAGAATCAGGATAATGTTAATTCGATGAGTAAAAAGGATGAGAAATCGAAGAAATACTTATCTGTTAATTAACCAAAATGGGCGAATAGTTATATGTGAAACCCTAACTCTGCAATACGGACGCTTTTGCAGCAATAAATAGAAAGTCAGAAGGAAAGGGAAATGAGATGAGGAGTTTTTAAGAAATTGAAAGGAATATAAAGGGGTAAGTAAGTGATGGTTGCACTAAATACGGAGAAGATGAAAATGAAAATGAGAAGTCGCTTTCGCCATGAGAGTGAGGTATGAGAAAGCGACATTGTCAACAAAATCTTTCACATTTACAACAAACATTACATAAAAAATAATATTATCATCAAAAGAGAGAAAACATTATGAAAAAAGATGGAAGATATGAGGGGTCATTTTATCTGCAAATTCATACCTTCTGGAGCGCATTAACAAGTGAGTGAAGAAGAAAGGAAAGGAAAGGAGGTGGAGGACAGTGAAATACACATTTTAGATCAACGTTGCTTAAATGGAAATGTCTGCAACTGTTCAACTTTTGACCCCATTTTTTTTTTTTTTTATCTCTTTTTCTTTCAGCATCACCAACTGTTGTAATTTGTAACAAAGTTGAGGCTGCCCTCAGGTAGTCGAGCACCTTTTTGATTATCACTACATTGCTTAAATTTATTTATATATATTATCGCGTTTTTAACTATATATTTATATTTTTTAATGATTTGATAATTTTTTTAAAAGTGAAATATATATCACTTAAAAACTCACCTTAAATTTTTATTCGGTAACAATATATATATATATATATAAAAAGGATAATGCATAAATATCCTTCAACCTATATTTGAAATCTCAAATAAATACTTATACTATAATAAGGTCATATTACCTCTGAACTTATTTTATTATTTTACCCCTTTTCTGCCTACGTGGGATAGTGCCACATAGGCAAAAAGGAGTAGAGTAATAAAATAAGTTAAGGGGTTGTAATGATTCAGAAAAAAATAAATAAATAAAATAATAGGTACTTAAGGTGATTTAATTATTAATTAAAAATCTGAATTTTAAGGGCATAGTGGTCTTTTTGCGTATTAATTGAAATAAAATCAGATTTGTATTAATTCAATTTAAATTATATTTGACTAATTCTTGAATTTAGTCTCCTAACCCTATTAGTTCTCTCTCTCACACGCTTAATAACTCTCTCTCACGTTCTTCATCTTTCTCACGTTATTCTACCAAATACCAACAGTTCTTCACGCTTGAAGAACTCACAAGAATTTTTTTAAGTAAAAGAAAAATTAATCAAAACGTCAAGGCTAAAAGAGGTTCGTCGAGTGAGGGGTACGTTGAAGTAAATTGGGAGTGGTTTGGAGGAGTTTTCCGGGCAGCAACATCAACGTTTGAACATCGATTAAGGTATGGGTTTTCTTCTCTCTTGGCTCCTTTTCCCAAGAGGCCCCTTACGATTCAAACTATTCACCTCGAAACTAAGGTTGTTCCTCGTAGCATGCCCCTGTCGCTAGCTCCCTATGATCTTAGGTTGGGTATTCTTGTTGGTAGAATTTAGGGATACTTGTTTGTGGTAACGATCTTGTTTAGAGTATGTGTTCATGATGATGTGATTATATTTTGTGTCTTTTGAAAAGTATGAATGTATATACGTATGTATTTGTGTAAGATTTTGACCATGACTTTAAGTCTTTCTTTAGCATGTTAATAGATTAGAGATTACTCGTGTTTTATGTGCAAATAGAGGCTCTTAAAAGCTTGATGTTCACTTGGTTGAAATGCTAGAAATTTTAGCTAAACAAACAACCAAAAACTTGTCTTAAGAATCCTAATGAACGACAAATAAAGAGGTGCTTAAAAATCCCGTAAATCGCTTCATAAAAATGTGTAACAAAGTTCCAGAATCTGGAAATTCGCTACAGGTGAATTCTGGAAAATTTGGGTGTCAAAAAAATTAAATAAAAATAGGTGAGGTCTGCAGGGATCGAACTCGAGACCTCACTAAAGTAAGCCAAAAAAAAAGAAGAGAATGCTTTCTTTCATAACAGAGCCGTTATTCCCGGCTGGCATAGAAGTCTCTCGCGCGGGCGAAGGAGATGCATTTCTAATGGGGGCTGGGACCGGCGAATACGCAGAAAAAAAAATGGGGCTGGGGGGAATCGAACCCTTGGCCCCTGTATTGCGCGGAAAAAAAAAAGGAAAAGGAGTGGGGGCTGGGGGATCGAACACGCGACCTGATGGAAGGAGGAGGAGAAAATTAATTAAGAAAATAAGTGGGAGGTGTGGGATTCGAACCCACGACCTCCAGCTACGCGCGAAGGAAGGAAAAATGGGGAAAAAGGAGACGCGAGGCGTGGGAATCGATCCCACGACCTCAAGGCTGAAGGAGGGGGGCAAATTTAATTAAGAAAAGAAGTGAGGTTGTGGACCCACAACCTCACTGTTGCTCACCCCATAATTAAATTAATGATAGAGGGGCTGTGGGGGTTCGAATCCACCACCTCACAGCCTCCTCTTAAGCGAAAAAGAGAGGAAAAATAAGGGGGCTGTGGGGGTTCGAACCCACAACCTCCCTAATGAGGCGATTTTAATCTTAAAAAAAAGGATTTGAATTAGAATTCTAATTAAAATAGAAAATTAATTCTTTCATGTAAATATTGAGATTTAAATTAGAAGTGGCAAATTAATTCTTTCATGTAAATGATTTTGAAATTTAGTTTAGAATTCTAATTAAAATAGAAAATTTATTATGTCATGAAAATGTCGAGATTTAATGTAGAGTTCTAAAGTTATGAATATTAGAAATAAAATCAATGAAAAATATAATTGATATCCAAATAATTCAAGATTTGGGTTCCCGTGCCCAAACCTCCGTATTGATACATAAGTCATACGTGAGTAAAATATTTAAGAATAATGAATATACAAGATACATAAGTCTTGTAATACATAATCTTAGGAAAGGAAGAATCACTTATCGAAATATGAATGAAGCCCCATGGCTTGTATGTATAGACACATAAGTCTAACATATGTTCAAAAATTACGTGAACCTAAGATGTACGTAATGAATTGATGACTCATTATGAGGGTTAAGTACGAATGTAAGATACGTTAAATGGCCAAGTGCATTGGCATATGATGAGATGAACTATGAAATGAAGAAATGAACACTCACATAATAAGAGGTGAGTAACTATGAAAAAAAAAGGTGCTAATAATGAAGAATGTGGTGACAATCATGATGTGAGGCTAATGTATATGATGAGAGCAATCTCAAATGAGCCTAAGTAAATGTTACCAATACGTACTCACCAATGAGAGTGTAAGATAATGAAGAGATCAGTCTCTATGAACACTCTAATAAAAATATTGAGTTTAAAACACTTAATACTAATGATGAGATGAGAAATCATCTATTGAGCTATGATGTCCTCATACTAGAAGCCAACTTCCATGATGTATGAGTTAAATTTAATGGAACTTTATACGGAGCACCGACAGGCTACCTATGAGCGGTGATGCCTTCTTTCGGGAAGGGCGGAGGTTCACGTAACTCTCATGAGATGAGACTGTTCGGCTTGCCGGGTATGGGTCTCCATGCATCTCCTAGTCTTTGAACCTATGTTACCACTATAGGGATCTGGCGGGGTTAAATTTTCATATACGCTAGCATGTTATTGAATCGCTTTGGCCGGTGATTCCACCTCTTTTCGGTGTGGGGGAGACACTGGATTTCATGATTCTCACATGATCTATGTCGGTTAAAGTTAAAGTTCCCAATGAATGAATGAGGCCACCTCAAATTAATCATATAAAGAAATGAATGATACGAAGGTGTTAGGATATGATAATCAAGAGGTAAGCTAGATTCAGGTAATGACATTAGGTTATTCTTGATCATTGCACAGCAAACCCGATCAAAGTCTTAAACTACATCCTAGGTATAGCTGGTGTTCGCACTGACCTATGAATGAATTGAAATGAAATACGTATGAATGAATGAAGCAGACTCTGTGTTTGCTAAAGAAGGCTCCCTAGTTGAGGTCCCATATGTTAAGCCCTCATTTTGAAAAATCTTAAGGTTAAGTCTATGATAATAAGGTCTCATGACATATGAATGAATAATATGAAAGAAACTACGTGTTATATGCTAAGTGCTATATGAAGATGTTATGTGTTGTGTGTAGTACGATGATTATAATGATGCATGTCACTCTCATGGCATAACTTTCCCAATCTCAATTTAGCAAGTCCACTAACTTGACTTTCAAACATCATGTTGTTAGGAAAGAGCTATTATTCCTCATGCATGTCCTTGGTGTGTGCTTGCATATACCCATAC